CTGGCAGAGTGGGGGTTGAGGTTGTTGGTAAGCATGAAATCACGCACAAGACGCCGTCCAACAATACCATCTGTTGATATATTATCGGTAACAACATCCTTATTGACACTAAACCCCCGTTCAACTGATGCCTGTCCATGACTCATAGTTAAAACGAACTTAATGACAGATGACAACTTTGGATACTTTTTTATGTCAATGTTTTTGAAGTAAAAATCATCAAGACGTTTATATTTTCGATCATAACTAATGAAAATATCCTGATTCAGAGCAAATTCTGATGAAATAAACTTTGAGAACTGGCTGATAACTTTGTCAGAATAAGAAGCAGTTAATATTCCAAGTGAAATAAGATGATGCAGCAATATTTTCATTTGATTCCTAATTTTTTCAGGTGTGATCTGAGCATATAAATTTGGAAGCAAACAAGTACTCGTGTTAACAATCACGGAATCAAGGGGACATCTTTTAAATAACTTTTCAGCAGCTGAAATCAAAATGTGCATGCATTGAATTTTAAATTCTTTCATATCCTTCAAAATAACTGCATCATTTTTTCTGAGCTTTGACAGTGATAATTCAGCAGCAAACCCAATATCAATTTCACTGGGTTTCAAATGGTTCTCTTTATTTTGCAGATCAATTTTGGTAAGTTTTGAGGTAGCCTCAATAGTTTCAGATTTAATGAACATCCTAAGAATACTCTAATCAACTGCACAAGATCATCATTCATGTGAGGCAACATTGGAGCGTCAGTCTGATAGAGCTTCAGAAACGGTTCAAACATGCTTGCCAGGTAGCTAAAAAACTGGAATTTTACAAGAGAAAGTTCTTTTTTAACAGCATTTACAACAAACTTATATGATTTGCAAGATGGTCGTTTACTTTTAGGCAGAGACTCCAAATAATTAACAGTTTTTATAATAGATGGCCAAATGCTAATTAATCTATCCGCTACCTTTTTGTCTTCAACCCATTTGGTTGCGCAAAATGAAAGCGGGAACACAGAACCTTCAGTGATACTGATAGTCACTTCTTCTGGCAGGAGAATTATGAAATAAGGTAAATCAGCTTTTAAATGTCTTTTTAAGTTCCCAATCAGTTGATTCTACTCCTGTTTTGAAAGCACCATGAATTATGTGTAGGGAACAGCAGCCTAAGTCAATAAGTTTAGATAATTCGTGCTCTTCACGTTTGCTTTGAGGGTCTCTGTGAATCATCTGGCTCTAAAAATACTAATTCACCTAATTCAGTAGAAGAGTCTAATTTAAAGACAACTGATAGTTTCTCAACAGGACAAGACTGAGACAACCAAATCAAGACAACCAAATCAAGACTAGTACTATGTCCCATAAATGAGGAATCCCAATACCTCACTTCAACTTGCATTTTTTCCTTATTCCAATACCGGATGAGTAAATCCATTTGACAAGTTTGAGTTTTTTTGTTGAGGTATTCATCAAAGGATACGACAAGCCAAGGAGACAGGCTCATTTGTTGTTTAAGTAAACCTTTAAAATAAGACCCAAGACCATGAGTGATGCTATATCCGACTTTATTTGGTCCCATTTGAAAAGATTTAGCAATCTCACTGTCAGGAAACATTGCTTGAAACAAATTTGTGACATTTTTGTTTGAATTGTTAGAAATTCTATTTAAGCAACAATGCAATGCCCACATAATTTCTGCACAGATTTTATTAGAATTTGATACGATGAGTTCTAAAGATTGCTGCTTCATTTGTCCTGTTGAGAAACTATCAGTTGTCTTTAAATTAGACTCTTCTACTGAATTAGGTGAATTAGTATTTTTAGAGCCAGATGATTTAAAAAAACAAGAGAAATTGCTTGCAACTGAAACATGTTTTTTTCATTTCTCGTAACTTTTTATTGCTTGAATACCCATGTTTGAAAGTTCAATTATTTTATTGCATAATTTGCATCTTGCCTGGGTGTTATTTTTCCCTTTCATTAGCCAAGAGTCAAAACAAGGGTAAATGTCTTTATTTAACCATTCTTCTTTAAAATTCTTTTTTTTTATTTTATTCATTATTTTAATTCTAAAAATGGAAACAAAATATTTCAAAATGATTTATATTTATAACATAGGGCACTGTAACAAATTTCATTGTATTAACTTTAAAAACCTTTTTTTTATTTTCAAAATTCATTTTCACAAGGATTTTAATCTAATAGCCATTGTAATGCTTATAGAAACCAATACTTTTTTAATAAAAACTTTCAAAAGTTTTCAACAAAGTTAAAAATCTTTGAAACTTTCTGTAACTTATTTAACTTAAAATAAAAAAAGAAGTTTTTCGCTTTTAAGACACAAAAATATTCAAAGTTAAAGATGCTGTTGTTTATAGAATAAATTACAGAAATAGTTTTAAACGATTGAAATTGATCATAAAAAATTATTTTTTTTATAATAAATAAAAAAAAAGGAATTATTTTTTAAAAATAAGAAATAAAAAAAAGAAACATACACTAAAAAAAAATAAAAAAGAAACATACACTATTTTTGTAAAAATAAAATAATAACCATAGATAATTAAAATAAAATATTTTTATTGATTAATATTTTAAAACAATTGTTAGTAATAAGAGCGTTTTGCCTATTAAAATACATTAAAAAATATTCAAGTTTTAAAAAAGTTAAAAAGCCGTGGTCAAATTTTTAAAAATAAAATATTATATGCGTGGTAAAGGTATGCCATCACATGCCTTCCTATAAAACACTGTAGGGTATTTTTTAATTGTCAAAATAAATGGGAAGCACCAACAGAAACATAATAGCTTATTTGTAAAAAGAGTAGTTTCTCAATTAGAATTCCCTGACTTTTCCCTGACTACCTAAAAAAAAATTTCCCCGACTTTTCCAGGTTTTCCATGACTTTATCCATATTTGGCTGATTTTCCAGGTTTTCCAGGTACAGTACGAACCCTGTATTACATTAAACTCATTTAATGTTACAAACAGCAGGAAAACTACGTACAGTGGCGTGCATAAGTTTAAAAACACCAATTTTTTTCAGTTTTTACTGCATAACTTTGTACAAACTTCTTCAAATAAGCTGGAATTTTTACCAAACGTGCTCTAAGTTATTTTAATTTAAAATACAAACCATAAAAGTTGTAAATTTGAACGGTTAATTAACGTGCTCTAAGTTATTTCAATTTAAAATACAAACCATAAAAGTTGTAAATTTGAACGGTTAATTAAGGTGCTCTAAGTTATTTCAATTTAAAATACAAACCATAAAAGTTGTAAATTTGAACGGTTAATTAACTTTTAATTGTTTTTTTTTGAAAAAGCTTAAGTGCAAAAGTTTAGAAACAGTATCATACTCCGCAATTAAATCATGTTTTTGTAAACAAAAGAAACATTTAAGGCCAAAATTTTTGTGAAATTTAATAATTTAGTTTCTTTGAGAAGGCAGTGAAGCGTAACTAATTGTTAAAATATTTGTAAAATTTTATAACTCAATTACTTGATTCATATTACTAATATTTTAAAAGCATGGGAAAAGCTTAGAAAGTTTTAAAGGAAATAAAGGAATTAATTATAAAATCTGTGGGAAATAAAATGACTTACAGGGAGATTTCTGATATTTACAATGCTTCTAAACCAGGAATTCACATTATGAAAAGATTTTGTTTGCGCAAAACTATTGAAAGCAAACCTCACTCTGGAAGATCTAAAGTTACAACTAAAAAGTCTGATAGATTATTATAAAGTATTCCAAAAATAATCATTGCAAGACTGCTGTCGAACCTTATTTATTAATGCATCAGTTTCATGGCATAAATTGTAGCGTCAATACAACTAAACGTCGATTACGAAAATAATGTGCATGGCCGTCGTCCAGATAAAAAACCGCTAATATCTGCAAGAAATTTAAAAACCAGATGTTCTTTTTTTTGGTTAATCAATGTTTATGCTATTTAGAAGTAGTGACGAAATTAGATAAGAAAATTTAAATATTAGTGCAATTAAATTTTTTTGCGTTAGGTCGAGCCTTTTGACTAAGGTTTTATCTATCTTATGTTGAACTTAGGAATCAATGTTTTTTTTGTAAGATGAAACTAGATTCTGGCAACAGTTACCTCAAGTTAATATAATGCCAAAGTTTTTTTATTTTTGGGGTTCAATGTTTAGAGTATTACTTCAAACATGTTAAATACTTGTCTTTATTATACCTTTATTATCATGTTTATGTGAAAGCACTATTTATGTGAATTCAAAATAACTTCCATGAAATTAAAATACAATAGCATTTGTTGTCTAATTTTGTTATAAACTCAAAGTGAGTCTAATTGCGTAATTTGTACTTCACTTAAGACCTTAAATTGTACCAAGGCTTTCATTTTGAATTTTATATATATTTTTAAATTTTGTCAAGAACAAAGGTTTTCTGTTTTGTATTATTAATATAATGTGCAGTAATATACATTATTTTCTCAACATAACTCAAGCTACCACATTAGTATGTTACATATTTAATAAAAAATTAATACTTTATTGATGATACCTGTTTTCCAGCAAAGATTTACCGTTTCATAGTTTATTAAATTCAAAACTTTTTTACATTGCTTGACACAAAAAAAGATCTTTACAAAAATCATTCAAAAATGCACTGTAAATAAATATAGTATTTGTAAAATAAAGATATAGGTACAATATTGGATTATAATAGTATGATTTAGGACCTTCTTTCCTTGATAGCACCAATAGGAATTTTTTTTTAATCTAATTCCCTATTAAATACCAACGTTTATATTTTGGAATAGTTCAACTTTTTTAGAACGGTTATTCCGTTCTAAAAAAGTTGAACTATTCCAAAATTTAAACGTTGTATTTTATAATAAATTGGGTTAATCCCCAATTTTTTATAAAATACAATAAATTGTTTCTACTTGTTATTTTTTCTCTATTTTTGACTAGAGGGTACAATATCGGCAACCTTACCTAATTAAAAAAAAGAGAGGAAAACCCACCTCAGCTTCAAGACAAACATTAATTGAGGATAATTGATTTATAAATTGAGCTGCATCATACTCTCCATCATAACGATATGAGCTGATCACAACAACATAGTTCCACTTGAGTTTCTGAAGCAAATCCAAAGCAACCTGATAAAAAATTTTTATAAAAAATGTAAAAAATGGCATAAACTGTCCTTTATAAAAACTTATATTTAACAAAAAACTGTTATAATAATTGTAATACTTGGACTCTAAATTTGTCAGATGGGACAGTTCTCAGTATTGTTTCAACTTTTCGATTATCAAAAAAAGAACAACTTGAACTGTAACTGATTGCCACTGTATTAAACACGCTTGTTAAGGTACTTGCTATAAAAGAAGATTGTGCAGAGTATGGACCAATTAAAAAGGGGATTCTGTCCATAAATGTTTTTAGAATTTTTTCCTGCAAATCCATCATATTCTTTACATCAAAAACTTCGTGGATAGCAAGTTTATAACCATGTAAAAAACTAGCATTGTTTGCTCGGTTAACCTTTAAAATAATATTTGCATATATATAAATATATAAATGTGTATATATATAAATATTTATATAATATTTATATATATAAATATATACATACATATATGTATATAAATATATACATATATGTATATATATATATATATATATATATATATATATACATATATGTATATATATACATATATGTATATATATATACATATATAAATATATACATATATAAATATATATATATATATACATATATAAATATATACATATATAAAATATATACATATATAAATATATACATATATACATATATAAATATATACATATATGTATATATATATATATATATATATATATATATATATATATATACATATATACATATATATATATATATATATATATATATATATATATATATATATATATATATATATATATATATATATGTATATATATATATATATATATATATATATATATATATATATATATATATATATATATATATATATATATATATATATATATGTATATATATATATATATATATATATATATATATATATATATATATATATATATATATATATATATATATATATATATATATATATATATATATATATATATATATATATGTATGTATACACTAGTCGACTATCTAACAGACAACTTATGAATCTTATAGGATCGCATATAATCTTATACTATCCTACAGGATATCTTACAGGATTTTTAAGATTTTATTTGTCTTTCAAATCCTATAGGACCATAAGGAATCCTGTGAATACCCATAGGGTATCTTAAAGGATTCATAAGATTTTATTTGTCTTGCAAATCCTATAAGATCATATGAAATCCTGTGATTATCCTGTAGGGTATCTTAAAGGATTCGTAAGATTTTCAATTTTTTATATTTATTTTGAAAAATGAAAAACTTATCGGTGGTGGGTTTCGAAACCCGGATCACTAGACCATTAGTGCCTTACCACCTGCGCTACACAACATTGTAAGTATGGAAATAAATAAAAATATATTATAATTAAAAAATAATTAAAACTATTTTTATTGAATGTATATAAACAAAAGTGTTGTAAAAAAATTTAATAATAGCAAATAACTATGTATATATATATATATATATATATATATATATATATATATATATATATATATATATATATATATATATATATATATATATATATATATACATATATATATATATATATATATATATATATATATATATATATATATATATATATATACATATATATATATATATATATATATATATATATATATATATATATATACATATATATATAAAATGCCGCCAAGAACTGTTTCGCCGCCCGGGACAGCAACATGATTGGCGTTCTTAATTATCGAAATTCTCCTATATTATCGGTAAAAGACCTTTGTTCCAAGGTACCTTCATTCTATTTGGTGCCCCTTGAAAATCTGCCGCCCGGGACAATCTGTCCCTTACGTTAAAATTAAATTATTACCAAAAAAATCTAGTTGAATTTTTCTCGCAATCTGAGTGTACATTGAATTGCGTGACTTTCTGAGTAAATTGAGTCGTAGAGTGACGTGATTTAAATCATTAGGCATTATGAATTGCGGGAAAATAAATAGCACTCAAGTGCTATTTATTTTCCCGCAATTCATAATGCCTTCCAATAGCGCATTCAAATCACGTCACTAGCGCATTTAAATCACGTCACAAATCACAAAA